GAAGGAGGAGCATCCTCTTATTTGTGTTGGTGCTTCTTCTTGGCGCATAGAGTGAGGAGAGTAGGGAATGACATCGGCTACTATAGGAATCAAGGTTCAGTAACTTAATTTTGATCCCCTCTATTCAGCGCACAAGGGAAGTAATGGAGATAGGGAGGGTTTGCTCTAAACCGAGAATGGGGTGTTCGTACAGGTTTATTTAATTAATTCATTGGTTGTAAAAGTTCAAATGCAAGACAGTTTCCTTTGATGAGCGCTTGAGGAGCTAGCGAACGAAATGTGGCTGAATTTGCTTTCAAAAATTAAGGTTCAAGGGGATAATTTTGGGGCTGAATTTGGTTCCAAAAGTAATAAGAAAAGGAGTCAGCAGATTGCCCTTCCAGCTACGCCTAGGAGGGAACAAGTTGTCCCAATTTCTGATCCAAGGTTACAAGAAAAGTAAGATGTCTTTTACCCCTATTGGGCTCTAGAGTGGTGGGGTTGCCATTGACCAATAGATTTTCATGCATTCAGATTTAATGAGAGATAACTAAAGTTTCAAGATAAGAAAGATATGGGATGAATCAAGTCTTCCGACAATGATCTTGTGCCTTCGCCCCACAAGGAGAAGAGTCTCAACAAGAAATGTCCAAAAACTTACCCCTCTCATATACAACCTACTACTTAATATTTTATATGCCTTCTAAGTATTAACTAAGATTTTCATGCTTTATGATTTTTAGTCCAAGGCCAACATTCACCTTCATTAAGACACTTTAATTAACTTCCTAATGGTTCTTTTAACACATGAATTATATAGATATATTTTAATTATTATTTCATGTTCCCTCTAATTAGTGATTAGGGTCCCTACCTATAATGTAATTAAATGCAATCCTATCCCTTTTTAACTAGTATCTAGAATCTTTTAAAAACATATACATACACTTGCTTATAATAGCAACAATAATAATTTTCCTACGTAATTTAATTCCTCTCTAAACCTCAATTGAAATTCGAATTTCAAGCATGCTTCACACCCCTAATTGCAAGTTATGTGATTTCCTAATTTTTGCGAGATGTTACACTCTCCCCACCAAATTTGAAGTTTGTCCCCAAACTTCGTCCTACCATTTCCGCTAACTACTCAAAGTGAATGCCAAACACACATGCATTCATGCAAGACATTTTATCACGTACATCCAGGCAGCTATCACAACCATCAATTAATTCAGAGTATTACAAATAAATCGTACTTCACAAGTTCATCAGATAATATATCAAAATCTTACTCGTACGGAAGGAAGTAGAAACTTTCATAAGCTTATTCATAACAAACAAATTTCTGGTTTCTATTTAAACAACGTCAAATTCATACTGCAATAAGGGTGGGGTAAAAACCAACATATAATCTTAATTAACGAAGAACTCCAGTTATTCCTAGTTAATTAGTAGCTAAACAGATCTACTCGCACAATAATTCCTCCCTATATAAATCCTATATTTGATGGTTGACCGAAAAAGAAACAGTCACCTATGTCTCTACTTTCATGACCTCCTTTAAGGCCCAAAGAAATAATCCTATTACATGCCTATATATATATTTGTGATTATCCCTTAACATTATTATTTATGCTCCTCGTTTCTTATGTGTATCCATATCAACAACCGGTCATTCTTTTATTTATTCCACTGCTATACTTACCATACTGACAATGCATGTCATTACCCACACACATTGACCCTAGAGTTTTATGCATGGTTGATGGGTGGTTAACAATTTAGTCTACAAGGTTACTTCACAATCGATCGCACCAACAAAATTTTACAATTCCGAATTAGACAATTTAAACGACTAAACATGTCCGCCTATTACTTGTACAACAGGGGACTAAGTGACTAGGACCTTCAATTACACTTATTTTATCTTTACAGTTTACATGTTACAAATTATAATTTCATTCACTCCCTAGTTACTCCTTACATATGATAAAATTAAATTCAATACTCAATTCACAACTAATTACCTGACTTGACAAACATCACGAGTAGAATTCCACAAATTAATAGTCTATAGAACAACGAGTAGGTAAAACCGAACGCACCAGATTCCAATTTACAATGTAGAAGAGTATTCGTAAAATCACAAAATTTCATCACAGCCAGAATTCCAGTAAACGTTCTTATTTTCTAAAGGTCTTAGTCCATCACTATAGAGACATACAAATTTACAGCATCAATTAATCTAACAGCACAATATTTGCTACTATCTTGCGGAAAAGGATTTACATTGCTGGGTAGTGCTTTTGTCTAGAGCTTAGGGTTTACGAGGCACTTCTAATAAAATTCTAACTATGAAGCTGAATTAAAGGCACGAGTACGGATAACTAGATTCCAAGGTACTAACTCCTAATTGCCATGATTACAATAGATGTTAAGCTTGTCCGTTAATTCTGTAGCTACTGTCTAATATTTTTCTAAAATTAATTGCACTCAAATCTATCCTTTACAACATACACAACAATTCCAGGATACCAAGCAGTCATGTATGCAGCTAATGAATTCCAGCATGCTCTTCGTACATATCACGTCCGGTGGTACCTCTCATACAGCTCGTCAAAACACCCATATAAGGAAACTTCCTCGAGCTTTCCGCTGTCCTAGGTACCTCGGATGTAATTGACTCCACAGATCAGAGGATCCAATAACCATGTTATGCACTTTCCAAACATTACACACATTAGAATTTAAAACAGCTACCAATCATAATCCATCCAATAAACTACGCTTTCATAATTCGAGTGCACAACACCACACTTAAACTCCAACTTTCAACATAAAATGAAATTCACAAAAATAAAAAAGTCTTCATGTAGTAGTTAGATTATAACCGAACACACGCATTCAGATCATGAAACACATATAAATTCTTGAATACAGCACCCAAACCAATTTTAATCAAGCATCACCACTATGGGGTTTACATTCTAGACGGTTGAAACAATTTAAGCAATTCATAAACTCAAATTCTAACATATTACGAAAAATTCAATCTCAAATACTTCTTTTTAATTGCTATACCCAACAAACTAATACTCAAAGCTCATAATATATTTTCATAATTTCAATTTATCAACCCGAGGACTCCTCATTAAATTTCTATCCTGACAAGCCAATACCAAAATGAAGTTTCCATGTATTCAATTTATCAAACAGAGATCACTCACTTTTAATCCAACTTAAACATCAATTCATTACTACTTCCACTCATACGGTACTATCAAATTTAGTTCACTTATTCTAATTATCCAAGTCATTCCTAGATTAAGTTCCTACACAATTTCAAGCATAAGTACCAAAACCACCAACCAAGACTTTTTCATTAATTGATTCTCGGTTTTTGACAGTTTGATACTACCGTGTTACCGGAGAATTTGTTGGCCAGACCCATTCTCAGTCACAGCTGGAGTATCACCTCATCATACACTGGGAATCGTCAAATTCCATACTTCATTATTTATTCTTCATTCAGGCATTAATCAATTACAATCTACCACGCATCAGACTTCTCTCTTTAGGAGGTTTTCGTGTCTCATAAATACTAATTCTACTTTCGTAATGCCAAGCAATGAGCAGATCCAACTCACTGCATGACATACACGACAATAGTTTCAAGATTGAGACACGGTGCCCACTTCAAGACAGAATCGTAAATAAATAATTATACAACTAGACAACTCAAACATTTCAATTCAACTGCAACATAGTACAAACAGACAATTCTTGCACAATTTAGTGACAACAACCATTTCCAATCAAATATTTCAATGCATAATATGGACAGCACAACCGAACAGGGCATATAATAAAACAGAACACAATATACAGCAACCTGAACAACATCAATAATATCAACAGCAAACCAGTCAATCAATAGAACAGGTCAAACTCAATTTCTCAACCAGACTACACTTATTACTGTACAACTGCCCTCTACTTATCAAGTCAACAACAAGGTAAATCTATACAATACAGTCTACCTTTCAGAAATTCAAGCAGTACTTTACAAAATTCTCAGGACTCAACACTGCTCTAAGTAATAAATTTCAAACTGCTTTAAGTAATCAATGCCACAAAGTGACTTCAGAATATCTCATGATAATTCTAATATTTCAATTATACTAAATTTCACAATTTAACAGAATAATTCAGCACGTGCCAATCATAATTCAGACAGTCCAATAGTTTAATTCTAACATCCGGCATCCAGCATACAGTTCAACAACTAAATTCAAACAACAATGATTAAACAAACATATACAAGCAGAAATGATTAACAAACAGCAACCAATGCAGCAATCATACACAAACACCTTGAATCAAAACTGCTCTGATACCAATTAGTGTGACACCCTCCCCTGTACGCGTCCAAGGGAGTTGTCTGCTAAGCGGATTAGAGTCGAAATGTTAATGAGTGAAATTCTTGTTCAGTAAAAACTTTTTCATATTATCAAATAGAAGAACTGGCCTAGAAAACTGACTTTGAAAGGTAAAAACAACAAATAAATTTTTAAAAGGCTTCCGCTGCGTAACTCTGATTTCCTGAAAACAGCCTGTCTTGTAAAAATAATATAAATTCGAAATCAACAGCTTAAAAAAATATTCTTTGACGCAAGGAAACTAGAAATCTGGGGCTACGCGTACATATAAATTATAAGCAAATCGGACGAGAATAGCCCCATGAAACAGAACTCGTAAAGTACTCAAAAATCTAGTGTATTTTTCTAAAAGCCTCCTGACTTGTAAAAATCGTAGTAAATCAGAAACTCATAATTTCATTGTAAGGTATATATAATCTGAAAGTACACAACTGGGGATTTACATACATATAAATTATACCTCATTCGGAGGTTTGTAGCCCTAGAACGACAACTCGCAGAGTGCTCTCAAAAATAGTTCAAAAATCCGAATTTAAATACAGCAGAATTTTGGTTTGACATTTTAACTTCTAGAATCACCTAAGTCAGACGGAATATAAAAATCATGTCACAACTCTTGTCAAAACAAATTATACATCATAAAATGCCAATCTCAAAGGCTACATCAAGACAGAACATACAATATACACCCAACAGTAACATCAATTAAACAGCAGGATTTCCCAGGCAGCAAAACTTAAACATAACAGTTCCATGAAATCATGTCATCAAATACTTCTTCACAAGCTTCTAAGTTCTCCTGCAATTTATGAAAATTGAGCCCCCGTAGGGGTGCGAAAAATCTCAGTAGTGTGGCAATAAAACCAGTACAACAACAATATTAGACTAGGCAAAAAATTCCAAAACAGTCGCATCAACATTTAATTTTCCGGACAGATGCTAACAAATAATCATAGCGTGTATATAACGCCAAAGTACTAATCATATTGCATATATAACGCCAGAATACTAATCAAGATGCGTATATAACGCCAAAGGTGTACGATCATAGCACCGTCGTGCACGTACTAACAAGCATAGTGGAGATCCCATAGTGGCTCCTCAAGAGGGTTCCAATTGCGACCTATGCGGACTGAAGCCAAGTGTACCATACCCTGGTACCGGAGGGATACCTATATGATGCGTGCTCAAACGTATGCTTACTTTTATTATCTACTTCGGTTTCCAAGATGAATGCATAATGTCGTATGCAATGACATGCTTGACCCACACACAAACAGAAACAAATGAAACATGATGTGCATATGCATGACTAGATCATAATCATAATAGCATATATCTCTTGTATATTTAATACCAAGATGCCGAATAACAAATACTTCCATAGGCAGAATTTTCCATCAAGACAAGTCCAAAGCAGAATACATATATCATATAACAGAATACCAATCATAAGGCACATGTGAGCATCAGTTCAAAATTTCAAACTCTAGCTAATAGTCACAGTAGGTCTCACCACCAAACACATACCTTGTGAATCCAAGCATCAATCAAACAGCCAAATATCGATCAAACAGTCCAATGAGCTAGGATCTTGCGCACCTAATCAAATAGATATATATATATATATATCCAATCAGAATTTATTTCATGTCACCATATACATCACATAGAGTTTCCCGAGGCTTAGAGGTCTTTGCACCTAATTAATCAATTACCAAATCAGAATTTCGTTTTATTATTTACTATACATCAAATGTACTTTCCACACTGCCAATTCCTAAAGTTTTAACTGAAATGCCAAGCTTCAAATACTAAATTAATTCCTTACTTGATTGCTTTAATTTTTCTTCCAATGTTAATTAGTATCGTAACTTTAAATTCCTTATGCATGTACCCTGGTTTTTATGACCATCTACTAGAGGCTACTAATTTATCATGTACATACATTACCTATACGGTTTAGGGGTCATTAAAGGGGCATAATTCAAGCTGTCTACACACGCTATGGTACATACACAGTTTGGTGCCAACCAGATTTAATGCTTCAATTGCTTATTATTTTTCTGCCTACATTTTATCCTAACATTCGTTAACAAGTGACAACACTTCCAAGGGAACCTACACATGCAGGTTCGGTTTTAGGCTAGTAACTAGGTGCATAAAGGTCAATTATCAACATGACCTTTTCTCTCAAGCTCAAGGGTGCGTTATTGGACCGTTACATGCTGTCTACAAAATTATCAATACAATCAAGATAAAATTCCTTAATCTAATTCACTAATTGCTAACACTTGAAATTTCCCAAGGTCCACCATATAAACTGAATCGGTCTTTTGACTCCAAACAAGTGATTATAATCTTTTCCTTAACAACTCCTACCAACATCACTTAAGTATTAGTGATTAGCCTGTTAACATGCTGACTTCGATTATTAGAGCACATGCAAGGCCTAACCTATTTTCTTAATCCAAGGACAGCTCCAAAATTCATGGTGATTCATGCTCCAAGCTTGTAAAACAGTTTTCAGATATACATGCATTAAAATGGCGGTTGTTCAAGTGAGCAGAAGCAAGGGAATGTAATAGACAAAAATTTAATCTTCCAAATCACACATGCAGTGGTTGAACAAAACAAAGGGAAGGGAATAAAAAAAAATAAAGACATATATCTCTCTCTTACATGCAAGGGGGACCGAAACAGAGAAGGAAGGGAAAGCTTGGGACTCAAATTTAACTTCTTGGCTGCATCCAAGGGTCATCCATTCGAGTGAAGGGCAACCACTTCACTCTCCACTGCCCCAAAACGTAGGAACCAGCTGCATGCAGGGAATGAGTGACTCCAACAAGGCAGAACCATGGTCCAACAAAAGAAAGGCTTGATCAGAAATCGATCCAAGTAGGGGAAACTAGAGGGCAGCGAAGAATACCTTACCTTCTCTTACTTGAAGTGGGTTGTGCGCACAAGAGGAAGGGAAAGGGTGTTGAGCTTCAGCCTCCTTGCTAATGGTTACACGGCTGAACTAGAAAGAAGAATGTGTTCAAGTATTCTGTTTTTCTCCCTGAGAGTTCACGATTTGAGTGTGTAAATGAGAAGGACCAGGTTGGATTAAATTCTGAGTTGAAGGAGGAGCATCCTCTTATTTTTGTTGGTGCTTCTTTTTGGCGCATGAAGTGAGAAGAGTAGGGAATGACATCGGCTACTATAGGAATCAAGGTTCAGTAACTTAATTTTGATCCCCTCTATTCAGCGCACAAGGGAAGTAATAGAGATAGGGACGGTTTTCTCTAAACCGAGAATGGGATGTTCGTACAGGTTTCTTTCATAAATTCATTGGTTGTAAAAGTTCAAATGCAAGACAGTTTCCTTTGATGAGCGCTTGAGGAGCTAGCAAACGAAATGTGGCTGAATTTGCTTTCAAAAATTAAGGATCAAGGGGATAATGTGGGGCTGAATTTAATTCCAAAAGTAATAAGAAAAGGAGTCAGCAGATTGCTCCTTCCCGCTACGCCTAGGAGGGAACAAGTTGTCCCAATTTCTGATCCAAGGTTACAAGAAAAGTAAGATGTCTTTTACCCCTGTTGGGCTCTAGAGTGGTGGGGTTGCCATTGACCAATAGATTTTCATGCATTCAGATTTAATGAGAGATAACTAAAGGTTTCAAGATAAGCAAGATATGGGCTGAATCAAGTCTTCCTACATAGATCTTGGGCCTTCGCCCCACAAGGAGAAGAGTCTCAACAAGAAATGTCCAAAAACTTACCCCTCTCATATACAACCAACTACTTAATATTTTATATGACTTCTAAGTATTAACTAAGATTTTCATGCTTTATGATTTTTAGTCCAAGGCCAACATTCACCTTCATTAAGACACTTTAATTAACTTCCTAATGGTTCCTTTAACACATGAATTATATAGATATATTTTAATTATTATTTCATGTTCCCTCTAATTAGTGATTAGGGTCCCTACCTATAATGTAATTAAATGCAATCCTATCCCTTTTTAACTAGTATCTAGAATCTTTTAAAAACATATACATACACTTGCTTATAATACAACAATAATAATTTTCCTACTTAATTTAATTCCTCTTTAAACCTCAATTGAAATTCGAATTTCAAGCATGCTTCACACCCCTAATTGCAAGTTATGTGATTTCCTAATTTTTGCGGGATGTTACAAACTTATTTCCATCAATTTTTTTTATCAAAAATCATATATCCTAGTTCTATAGACCATTTATTACTCATATTTGAAACTTAGAGCTCAAAACTCAATCAGCACGTTTTACAGTGCAATTGTACCGCTGTATTTTTACCGGTAAAAACACTATTCATTGATTTTTCTGAAACTTGTCTATCCACTCAATTTTTCGTTCTGAATCCATTTCCAGGGTTATTCTTACCATCTGAGACCTTCTACTCAATTTTTATCTTCCTAGGGTTGCGTGTTGGCTAATTATCGTTTTGCCCTTTCTTTGTATTTTGGCCTAATCTTCAGGATTTTCACTAATCCTTCACTTAATTACTCATTTATTATTTTAATACTTAATTTAGAATTGCGAGGTGTTATAATCACCCCACCATTTAGAATTTTGTCTGCAAAATTAAATCATACCTGTCCGCTAACTTAGGATACAGCCGGAGAATTTCATCCTCCCGTTCCCAAGTAGCCTCCTCAGGCGTACGTCCTTCCCACTGAATCTTTAACATTGGGATAACTTTGCTTCTAATCCTCTTTTCACTGCGGTCAAGAACATCAATAGGACCTACAGGAGTCTTTAAATTTTCTCTAATTTCAATGTCATCTGGTATCACCACATGTGATTCATCCGGAATATAGCACCGCAACTGCGATACATGAAAAACATCGTGCAGATTTGACAATTGTGGGGGCAAGGCAAGCTGATAAGCCACTAACCCTACTCTTTTCATTATCTGATACAACCCAATAAACCGAGGGCTCAGCTTCCTCACGCCCAATGCACGTCCAACACCCGTAACTGGAGATAACCGCACAAATACATGATCACCTTCTTCAAATTCAAGCGGTCTGTGTCTATTATCATAATAACTTTTCTGCCGATTCTGTGCCTGTTTTAGTTTCTCTCGGATCATTTCAATCTGTGCTATAGTTTCTTTCACAAAATCCGGCCCAAATCTCTCTTTATCACCTACCTCAGTCCAACAAGTAGGAGTACGGCATCTCCGTCCATACAATGCCTCATATGGTGCCATGCCCAGACAGGAGTGAAAACTATTATTATACGAGAATTCCACCAGTGATAAATACCTGTCCCAAGCAGTGCCCTACTCCAATATGCAAGCTCTCAGCATATCCTCGAGTGTCTGTATGGTCCTCTCAGTCTGACCATCAGTCTGCGGGTGATACGCAATGCTCAGCCTGAGCTGAGGGCCAAAAGCCTGCTGCAAGGCTCCCCAAAAACGAGAAGTAAATTTCGGGTCCCGATCACTAACAATGCTAACTGGTATCCCATGGAGCCTTACAATCTCCTTTACATATAACTTTGCTAATTTCTCCATAGAGAAGTCCACTCGCACTGGCAGAAAATGTGCAGACTTCGTAAGCCTGTCCACTATAACCCAAATCGAATCGTGACCAGCCTGAGTCCGAGGCAAACCAACAACAAAATCCATACAGATGCTCTCCCATTTCCACTCTGGTATATCTAACGGCTGAAGTAAACCACCAGGTTTCTGATGTTCTATCTTGACTTTCTAACAAATTAAGCACCTCGACACATACTCAGCAACATCCTTCTTCATCCCAGGCCACCAGAACTTAGTTTTCAGATCTTGATACATTTTTGTGGCACCTGGGTGTATAGCATACTGACCCTTAGGGGCCTCAGTCATTACCTCCTCTGCTAACTCCTTGGGCACAACAATCCTTCCCTGATACAATAATAACCCCTGTTCATTCAAAGATATCCCACTCTGCCCTTTCAAATACTTAACACTGTCGTTCTGTACCTGCATTTCTTTAATTTTCTCATGTAGTTCATTTTCCACCCGGAAACACTCAAATTCATCCATCCTGCCTACAAAGACATCCGTCAATTTCAAATCATGGAATTGTTCAATCACTTCATTATCCCACAACATCAGCTGGGACACACTAACAGACTTCCTACTCAAGGCATCTACCTCCACATTAGCTTTACTCGGATGGTATTTCAGCTCAAAATCATAGTCTTTTAGAATTTCAACCCATCTCCGCTGTCTCATATTCAGCTCTTTCTAATAAAAAAAATACTTCAAACTCTTGTGATCATTGAATACAGCAAATACCAAAAATGCCTCCAGATTTTCAAGGCAAATACAATAGCAGCAAGCTCCAAGTCGTGCGTCGGATAATTTTCCTCTTGAGGCTTCAACTGCCTCAGAGCATAAGCAACCACTCTCATCTCTTGCATCAACACACACCCCAAACCTTTCTTGGAAGCATCACAGTACAATTCGAACTCACCTTCCGGATCGGGGAGGGTCAACACAGGAGCAGTAGTCAATTTCTCTTTAAGGTCCAGAAAACACCTCTCACATTCCTGGGTCCACACAAAAGGAGTATCCTTTCATGTCAATCGGGTCAATGGCAGTACCATTGTGGAAAACCCCTCAATAAATATTCGATAATATTCAGCAAGACCTAGAAAGCTCCGGATCTCAGTAACAGTCTTCGGTCGTTCCCAGTCAATTACCGCATCAATTTTATTTGGATCCACAGCAACACCCCTAGCAGAGATAACATGACCCAGAAATTGCACCTCAGATAACCAAAATTCACATTTAGACGGTTTCGCATACAACTTTTTATCCTTTAATATCTTCAAAACAGTCCTCAGATGCTCTGTATGCTCCTCCTCACTCTTAGAATATATCAAAATGTCATCAATGAACACAATTACAAACTGGTCCAAATACGGTTTGAAGATACGATTCATATAATCCATGAACACTACCGGGGCATTAGTAAGCCCAAAAGGAATCACCTGATACTCGTAGTGTCCGTATCTAGAACGAAATGCCGTTTTAGGCACATCCTCTGGCTTAATCTGAATCTGATGGTATCCGAACCAGAGATCAATCTTAGAAAACACACAGGCACCCCTCAACTGATCCAACAAGTCATCAATACGTGGTAATGGGTACTTGTTCTTAACCGTAACTTTATTCAATTGCCGATAATCAGTACAAAATCTCATGCTTCCATCCTTCTTTTTCACGAATATTACTGGTGCTCCCCACGGGGACACACTCGTTCTGATAAAATCCTTTGCAGACAGCTCCTCAATATGTTTCTTCAACTCAGCCAACTCCAGCGGAGACATCCGGTATGGAGCCAAAGAAATAGGCCCCACACCAGGCAACAATTCAATCGAGAACTCAATCTCTCTCTCAGGTGGAAATTCCAGTATCTCATCAGGGAATACATCCACAAACTCATTAACCACCGGAATAGTAGAAATCTCAACCTCCTTACCACCCACCAATCCACCCAAGAAAATATAACCCTGATCCCCAGCCTTCAAGGCTTTAATAGCTTGACACATAGACAGAAAAACAAACGGACCCACTAAGGGCCTCTCATGTGCTAGTATCAACCTCTTCCCGCAACAATCAATCATTGCGCGATTTGAGATAGCCAATCCATACCCAAAATCAAATTGACAAAGGTCAGAGGCAAGATAATCAAATCCATAGTGTAACCCCTTCCTTCGTAGATAAACCCAACATCTTTACAAATAAAGGAGGAATCACTAACCTCTCCTGTAGCAGTAGTAATACGCATAGGGGGAAACATCTGTGATACTCTTAACCCTAATCCTTTTGCAACATATTCAGCCACAAACAAATGTGTCGCCCGCGAATCAAATAAAACAGACAATTCAATATTTGAGATAAAAATTATACCTTTAACCAGATTAGGTGCCTTATCTGTTTGCTGCAAATTGGTAGTATAGACACGCCCAACCGTAGGGACAGATGACAAGGCCTGCAGATTCGCAGCCTGCCCAGTATTACTGTAACAATTGTTGGCATAATGCCCAACCTTACCACATTTAAAACAAGCATTTGGAACCGAAGTACAAGGGCCCTGTTGAAACCTCTTACACTTATCACATCGAGAATTAGAATTCCTGTCATTAAATCCGCTCCTCTGACCACCACCCCTCTTGAACTGACCCGGAGGCTGCCTTACCTGCAACCCCCTACCTCTATTATTATTCTGATGGTAGCCACCTCTGTCATTATTACCAGGAGGACCAGATGTCCTCGAAGCGCTAGACTTCGGATACCTGCTATAAACATTTTCAACCCGTTTGCACTGGGTCACTAAATCAGCAAAATTCCTCACGGCAGTATTGGACATCCTCTTAGCAATTTTCTCATTCAAACCTCTCTGAAACTTAGCAGACAAAAACTTAGGATTCGTCAGCACACCCCCATAATTTGCAAACTTCACTAATTCATTGAATTTAGCCACATAAGCATCAACAGTCATGGTACCTTGTACTAATTTCTCAAACTCACCCTGTTCAGCTTCCCGGACATCCCTAGGAAAGTACTCTTCATGGAATAGCCTCTCAAATAAAACCCAAGTAATTTCCTCCCCCTGAATAGTAAAAGGGCGAGATGCATTATACCACCATTCGTGGACATCCCCCTCAAGCATGTAGACAGAATACAATAATCTCTGGGGATCCTGACACCCTATAACCTGGAGTATTTTCTCCATGCCCATCAACCAGGTAGTCACAACCTTCGGGTCCCTTGACCCCTGAAATGCGGGTGGTTTATGCTTTCTGAAAGAAATGAGCCTCTGTTCATCAGTACCAACAAATACTTGCCCAGCAACCCCAGACGACTGAGCAACAACAGAAGGATCCACAGAAGGCTCTGGGATATAAGTAGGATCAGTAGTGTGGTGACTAGCCTCACCAGACTGACGACTAGCACCACTCCCCTCCTGGTGAGGTGTAACAGATGGCGTACGAGTGTGAGTCTCCGTAGCCGTATGTGGAGGAGAATCATCCCTCTTTTTCTGAGCCCTATCCGCCCTCATCTCATTCATGATGGCATGCATCATATCCTGATTATTTTTCATCAGGGTCTCAGTCATATTTCTATTTGCAGCAGTCTCTTCCTGCAGAGCATTTAGAACTGCAGTAATAGGATCTGGTGCTACTAGACGACCTGCACCTCGAGTTCCACGACGACCACGTTCCCTACTCATGATATCTGTACATGTAACACAAAGGAATGAGTTGATCAGACCCACACTGAGGAATCACATATGCAGTAATCATAAACAGTTCACAGATAGCTATGCAACACAAAATACAGTTATGCATTATCAGAGTTCCCTTACAAAAATGCTCTGATACCATAAAATATAATAGCCCGTTATACACCAGTATTGTTAACATTAATTATGATATTAAGTGCAATTACAATCACAACAATTCATTTATAAAAATGCGAAAAAACTTTTTCCGTTATTACGCGAGTATTTAAAACAATAAAAAGCGTAATAATTAAAAGCTGTGACCATAACTGTAAACTCTTGCGGAATACTTGTTTAAACTATTTTTATATCTTATTTTACTCAATACAAGACACTAAGGGGTTCCCATAAACCCACTTAGCTAATTTCTCGATTTTACGTTTTCCATCCATCCGAACATGGTTCGGTTATTATTTTTCTGCGGACACTCCGCACAAAAAAGTCCTTCATATTTAGGTATCTTTTTTTCTTACTTAAATACCTTTCCAATGAGCCATCACACGATTCATTTCGATCTCGTTTGCTCCGGATATCGCCGTTTGAAGTTGGACAAGCAAAACTGCAAACCAACCCCAAAGTAGCTCCAAACATCCTTCACTCCACGAATTACTGCAGAAACAAAACTCACCTAATTGCTCTAAAATTTTGATACCATAGACACCTCAAGCTTCAATTTGATATATCATACACTTAGTTTGACCAAGAAAATAAGCGAGAATTAATTTTCCGAAACTGGTCCAGATCTGCCACAAGTGCAGTGAGCAATTGGGCAGTCTACACTCTTTGCCTTCTCCAGGCCGGTTTCTAACCCAGAATTCTCTCAAACTTTACCACAAGATAGAGGACGTCTCAATATTCAAAATGGCGTATGGCACGTCCCTATCGGACCTCTGTGGAGGGAGATATGCTCTCCCGAAGTTCGCCTAAATTCTGCCAATTCTATAGAAAATTCGCCAGAGTTTCTTTTGTTTTTACAAAAATCCCAAAGTTTGCAAATGTTTTCTAATACCTCAAATGTACCTAATAACCAATGGGTGGCACACACAAGGACCAACAATGCCTTGGGGCACTTACAACCCAACTCAGTTTAAAGTTATTACAAAATTCATATCATATTGCTCACTTTATTAATCCTTGACTTATTTCAATCACCAATGTCCATTTACATGCATTTTCTAAACATACACATAATCATAATCCTAAAATAGGCCTAAAGCCCTTCCATCATATTACATCAAGTATTAATTGTACAATTACAACATCTCAATTACATATTACAACTTACAAATGCATAACTTTAAATTACAACTTGAAACATAAAGCTTAAAATGACATATACAACATGTACCTAGACTTAGGAAAAATAGCATGAACAAATATGACATGAAAATCATCCTACATACATATGGGATGTTCATGCCCTAAGTCTATCCTAGGCCCCATGGCCATCAAAATGCAAAAAGTAGAAATGCTCTCCAACACTCATCCTACGGGCCTCTTGCCCGCCGCTCTTGTGCCACTGCTACCTCCTGAAATAAAGCCCCCAAGACGGGGTGAGATATACGAATATAAATCAGTAACCCAGAGGTTCTGGAGAAAACTCCGCCCAATGGCTCACTTCGATGCATATAAATAATATAAAATAACCTCTTTAAAAACGGGATAAAGTAAGGGATTTAGAGAAACTGGGGAATATAGGAATACAAAATACGACGAAGCTGGAATGGTAGCTACCAATACCATGCAACGCCCTGCCTAATGGCTTGGCATATAAACCTACGGGTCTCATCCAAGGCGTGTTCCAAGAACAACTAACCAAGGTACCCCTCCCATCCACATACACCTGAGACTTCCTAGTGTGCTCCAATCCGGATCACACACCACGACCCTGGGTCAACTGGAACTCCCTCTCGGAGACCTATCTAGTGGAAGTTCGAAACGCCCGAAGGCAAAAACTGTCTACTAGTCAGAGACTTGGTACATCTAGTGTACCAGTAACATACATAATAAATGCATGATCATGTTATTCTACACTACTCATATACATTTCCTACCATCACCCTCAACGGGTATGGTGGAACACACAAGGGGAACAAGCCCTAGTACCAAGAGGTTACCTCAATAAGCCTCTTCACTTAGCTCCACGTCAGTATATTCTTCGAGCTCGTCACTCAACAGAATGCCTACACAGAGGGCATTCCCAATTACTCAAAACTCATACGAATACATGCCAGTTAACAATTATACAAGCATGATTCAATCACTTACCTCAATGCCACTTGGTCCAGGACCAAGGAATTTCCACCGACTCACGGTTCGAGGTTCAAATCGACGTACGGCAACCTACACCACCATGTACGAATCATCAGTACACGACAATTCGATCAAAATACGAAAAACACCAAAAATCACCCCTACACCTTGTAGGTTCGACCTTCTTAGGCTTATTTCTCAATTTATTTTTCTAAATTTTCTTTCTCATTTTATTATACCTCCTTAGGTTGCCAAAAGGCCATACTAAGTGCCTTTTTCACTTTACGTTTTTTAAACAATGTTTTGCCTAATATTTTACTCTAGGATCCTTTATGGCATTTAAAAACCTCAATTATTTTTCATCAATCCTTCAACCTTCAAACCACCACACAACCCATCTAAATACCATTCAAGACATGATACATCAACCAATCCATGCCAACAATGTAACATCCCACATAATTAGGAAAATATATAAATTGCTATGAGGAATAGGGAAGCATGTGTTGAATGGAAATGGGACAGTATTGCCATGGACTTTGTAGTCGGACTTCCTCGGACGCGAGAAGGATTTGATGCCATCTGGGTAATTGTTGATCGATTGACAAAATCAGCCCATTTCTTGAGCGTCCGAACAACGTATAATACAGAAAAGTTTTCCCGAATTTATCTTCAGGAGGTTCTGAAGCTGCATGGAGTTCCCACCAGTATTGTCAGTGATCGTGATCCCAAGTTCACCTCTAAGTTCTGGGAGTCTTTTCAGCGAGCTCTCGGAACCCATTTGAGGTTGAGCACTGCTTATCATCTGCAAACCGATGGTCAAACTGAACGTACTATTCAGGTTCTGGAGGATATGTTGTGAGCCTGTATCTTAGATCAAGGAGGCAGTTGGGATAAGTATCTTCCTTTGGTAGAGTTTGCTTACAATAACAGTTATCATTCAAGCATCAGAATGGCACCATATGAAGCATTGTACGGGAGCAAATGCAGATCCCCGTTATGTTGGGTAGAAGTTGGTGAGTGGAGTATTTTGGGGCCCGATATGATTCAAGAAACATCTGAGCAGGTGCAGAAGATCAAAGAAAACATGCAGCAGGCCCAGGCGAGACAGAAAAGTTATTACAACAATCGTCATAAGCCCTTATCTTTTGAAGTGGGAGACCGCGTGTTTTTGAGAATCACACCCACATCGGGACTCGGCAGGAGAATGGGAGTGAAGAAGTTGAGTCCGCCGTACTTGGGACCATACCTTATCTGTTAGGGAAGAAAGCATGGTGAAACTGAATAGATATGCATGTGGGAACCATGGGAAATTCTAGTTGATAACCGTTGATGAAATACTTTATGGGCAGAAAAATAATTGGCACTAGAAGTAAGATAACTCGGCTAAGACATAAGGACTAGAAGACTAGAAATTATTTGTGACGTATAGGAGTAATTGTATGAAATTCTGACTTGGTACAATGGTATATTAGGTGCGCTATACCCTTAAGGTCGTGGACTATTTCGCTGCCGTTTGGTAATTTATTTGTGGCACGCGAGGTAAGTGTTAGGTGGCATTACCTTTTGTGACTACTAGCTAGTTTATGGGATTGTGAATTGTTGCTCTCATATGCTTTGGATTCGCATTCTGTTTTATGTTCGTTATACTCTGCCCTTGGACATGACATGCGGGATATTCTGTGTTGGAAAATATTCAGCATCTTGATATTGGAAATCCATGGGATAAATGCTATCTTGATTATTATCTAGTCATGTATACACATATCATAATTTTAGCTGTTTGTTTTGTGCGGACCATATCATAGCATACATGCATAAATTTCATACTGAATTCTGAAAATAATTATGAAAATTAAGCATACGTTTGAGCACGCATCATATAGGCATCCCTCCGGTACCAGGGTATGGGACACTTGGCTTCAGTCCGCATAGGTCGCAGTTGGAATCCTCTTGAGGAGCCACTATGGAATCTCCACTGTGCTTGTTAGTACGTGCATTATAGTGCTATGAACGTACACGTTTGGCGTTATAGACGTACCCTTTGGCGTTATATATGCACTATGATTATTATTAGTATTTGTCGGATTAAATTGATGATGCGACTGTTTTGTTATTCTGTATCTAGTTAGTACTGTTGCATTACTGGTTTTTCTATCACACTACTGGGATTTTTCTCACCCCTCTTGGAGCTCAATTTTTATAAAATTGCAGGAGGACAAAAAACCATTTGATGACGTTATTATTTTGGATATTTGTTGTTGATTGCTGCTGTTTGGAATTCCTGCTGTTGTCTATTTTATTTGTTGGAAGCTAGCTGACTTTGTTATATTGATGTAATATTTTGGGGAACATGGACTACTGTTGGAACATGATTTAATCTGCTGTTTTAAGGTTTTATGGTCAGTTTGAATTTTGGAAGATTCTGATTACGTTTTGCGAAAAACAATTTCTTAACGTTTTAAAAGCTGTTTTCAAAACTGTTTTGCGAGCACTTTGCGAGTTATGTTTCGTGGGGCTACAGACCTCCGATT